TACATATTGTGGTTCTCTTCTTCCCATAAACAAAAACTTAATCAATAAATCCCGAAATCACTAATTCATTTTATCTGTTATCAGCAAAAAGTCCATAAAGGGTTTCCAGTCTTTTATAAAAGTAATTGCTGTTCCCTCCTTAATCAATTGAGTCAATTTAGCCATTTCTGCAAGATCTGCCATCTTCATGATCCATTCCTTCATTATGAATATTTCTGTATTCTTCCATCTTTGTAATCACCGTTAATTTCTAAATGATTGCAGACCCATTGCTTGATTATCTTTTCTAGGATATTCCCAGGTATTGATGTGATGCTGATTGGTCTGTAGTTTCTTAGGTCCACTTTCCTCCCTTTTTTAAAAGATTGGAACCGCATTGGCTCTCTTCCAGTCTTCTGGCACTTTCCTTGTGTTCCAGGATTTCTCAAAGATTTCAGTCAGTGTCTCTGAGATGACATTCACCAGTTTCCTTTAACATCCTGGGATGTAATCCAACCAGTACAGGATACTTGAATTCATTCAAAGCAACTAAGTGTTCTCTCACTAATTTCTCTTCTCTGGCGGAGATGAATTCTGGAAAATCATCTTTGCTTGCCTGCTCTGAGCTAAGTATAATAATTGTAAGTACTGGTGTTAATTACTAATGTTATTTGTTTTTGATGGTAAAAGAGAATGGACTTTGTCTTCTCAGTATTCCAAAGCATTTTCCCCCAGCTGAGTATAAAATTTGTAGGAAGGGTGGATCAGTTCTAAATTTAATAGAAATTGGTAGTTTTTAAATGATTCTCCTTTCAATAATGATTTTAAATATAAAGCGTCCATATTTTTGTCTGAAGCAGAATGTACTGAAATTTGCTGCAAAAATGGATATTAGATTGTGGCAAAAAGGAGTTTTGTGGAAAGAAAAGAGGAATGATGACCTCTTGACTGGATTGAAGTTGAATGTTGAGTGGTGGGTTGGGTTAGAGGACAGAAGAAATGCAAGAGGGTGATCTTCTTAAAAAAGAGTGATTATAGTTCTTAAATCAGTTGGATAGATACAGTGGGGCAAAAAAGTATTTAGTCAGCCACCAATTGTGCAAGTTCTCCCATTTAAAAAGATGAGAGAGGCCTGTAATTTTCATCATAGATATACCTCAACTATGAGAGACAAAATGGGGGAAAAAATCCAGAAAATCACATTGTCTGATTTTTA